TATGTATGAGCAAATTTTTTTACATTTTTCCAAACTTGATTTTTTCTAAAACAAACAATGCGAAAATAATCCATTAACTGTTTTTAATGTTTTCTCAATATTATTATTATTTTTAGTACATTAAAAAGTAATTTTACAAAAGAAAGAAAGATGTATCGACATATTTCATATATAATTATTTATGATTATGAATATTTATACGTGTTTATGTATGTTTATACATATTTATACATATTAATGTATAAAAAATTTTTTACCAGGTAATTTCCTATTGCAAGTTAAAAAGAACTAATATATGAAAAAAATAAGTCAAAAATATAGATTAACATTCATGTTTTTACAGAAATCTTCATTTCGAGAAAATCATACTTGAACAATGGAAAATTACATCACTCTCATATGTTATTGTTACTCTCTTACTAGACCGTGATACTCGTAAATTTAATTAACGAAATGCGATCCAAGCATCTGGCATATATAGCATTGATATCACGTGAAGGTATACAACACGTCATTCTGTACGCGCTTGAATTACGCAAGTAATAACCTCAATGGTATAATTACTAACCACGTATTTAAAATACGAAGTGATAAATAAAAGTCATATCTATAAATACAATTTTGAATCTTAACATTTGATTAACGTTTTTATACAGAAATTTAAAAGTATGAAAATATATAAACTTTTGTTCATGTATTATTATGTAGATTTGAAAAAAAACGGTATTTTTATTTCGAGCCGAATACCGTCGGAAGTATAAAAGATAGAAAAAAATTTTTTAAACAAAAGTTTTACGGTTTCAAGAGTACTTCAATGTTGTGTACTCAATGTTGTGTACTCACAACATTGAAGTACTCTTGAAACCGTAAAACTTTTGTTTAAAAAATTTTTTTCTATCTTTTATACTTCCGACGGTATTCGGCTCGAAATAAAAATACCGTTTTTTTTCAAAGAGGTGTTTCACCCCTTAAACATGAGTTAGCGCACGTATAAAAAAATACGTGTCTGTGTGTGTTAGATTTTTGTGTTTCACAACATATTTCATGGAGAAATCAAATCGGTTCCGGACAGTTGTGAAACTTCCTTTGTAAGTGAGCACTTTTTTTCAATTGCAATTTTCAATAATAAAGTAAACGATTTTAGTCAAATCATTATTAGCGTGTAGAGTGATTATAAGATTACAAGATGGCAATAAAAAGTTTTGGTGTTTGCAACTTCATTTCATCTATATACATAAAAAATGATGTGATTCGGAAAATGAAATCTCAAAAATTATTTTTGACTATCGAAAACACGTTTGACTATCTAAACATAACAACGCGGCACCTAAACTAACCAAACTTCGTTGATAAAAAAGACACACGAGATGCCATCTACAATATAAATTAGGAACTCATAAGATATATTTTTGCCACTCAAAATTCAAATGCCCACATAGCCCCGGTCTCCTCCTATATATATTTTTTTAGAAGTGAAAATTATGTAGACTTGCATTATTAATCCTTTAATTAAAAGAAATAGAAGTTTCAATAACAGAATATAAGACTGCATCTGCTATTTAAATTTAATTTTTATTTTGTTTAATATAAAAATAACAGTGTACATTTTTTTATGTTGAATAACGTAATACATTTATTTATATTGTATACCCGAATATCAGAAATTATAAAAATATTTATATTGCATGTGTACAGTTTGCAATTCCTATTTCTTTGGAAAATAACCAACAATAATTAACTACTATTTAGATGAAAAATGGTACAATAAGAAGAATATATCCGCTCTGAGCTCAGAAGCCTTTCATGACTTATTGGCCGATATTCATCAAAATTGGATAATATGGAATCATAATCCGAAAGAGTCGTATGTGCTTCAAGAACCAGATGTAGAAGATCCGTCGATGGGGCAGTCAACTGCGATACGCGAAATTTTAAACGATAAGGTAAAATAATTATTACAATTTCGTGAGAAATGCAAGAAAAACGTCTTTCGCAAGAATAAACGATTGAATGAATATACGATAATTATGCTCGATCGATTTATGTTATTAATAAATACCGAATTTTATTTATTGCTCTCTACAGAAAAACGGATTTTTCATAGAATGTGGCGCGTATGATGGGGAAATACGTAGCAACACATTATTTCTGGAGCGATTTAAGGGATGGTCAGGTCTCTTGATAGAAGCTGATCCTATTAATTTCACAAAGATGTTGCAAAAGAACAGAAAGGCCTATCTTTCGCCAACGTGTCTTAGCATTACTAAGAATCCTACGGTGGTAAGAAATCAATGATTTGTTAACATTGATTTTGAAACAGCGCTGTCGCGAAACTCGAGTATCAATTATGACTCGGTATATTAGACGTTACATGAATTCCGAAAAATTTGGTGAACCTCACGAAATTGCAGGCATCTTTTCTCATGGCCAGGAACGTAGGTCGTCTACACGAACCCAAGAACACGACAGAGGATGTGCTCGCAAATACGCTCGACGTGGCTTACACGGGCAAGCACGTCCGTGTGCAATGCTTTCCATTAACACATTACATCGCCGCGTTGGAAATCAAAACGATCGATTATTTCAGCCTCGACATAGAAGGCAATGAGATCGACGTATTAGAAACAATACCGTTTAACGAGGTGGATATAAAGGTACAGCACTTACTTTAGTCCATTCTGAATCTATGCGTTTCTGATGTTCGCGGCATGTTCTCTTGGAAGTGAAATATAATAACAATACTTTTATGCGGGGTCTACAATAGAAGTCGTAGCAGTCGTAGGGTCTTAAGTCGTAGAAAATTGACCAATCACAGTCGAATATGAGAAGAATAATCAACTGTGATTGGTCAATTTTCTACGATCTTATGATCGCTACGACTTCTATTGTAGACCCCGCATTAAAGATTCTACGATTATTTTCTTCAAAGAAACTACGCGGCTTATGGGTTATCTTTATATAATAGTATAATAATATAGTTGTAATGATACGTCGTAAGAGAAGTACGTGATTGTTAAGTAGTGTTCGATTAAAGGGATGACTAGAGGGAACCTTATGTGAGAGATCTTAATTATATCTCACAGTCTTAGTGGACCATCCCTCCCTCTCATCATATACTTCCGTTTTCTTTCTCTATCTTTCCTCTTCCTTAACAACATATATAAAGGGAATCCTCCAGAGATGAGAGAAGCTCAGTATCAGATTACTTCTCTCGCCCTGATGAAGTGAACTGCAATTCACGAAACGTTGACGTTTAACGATGTATCAAGACACGGAACCCGCAAACGACGTAGCTTCTTTGCGGAACGTACTTAATATTTTTTATGGCACAATTATCATGAGATATATATATATATATATATACACGTTTCAGACTCTCTCTGTGGAGTACATACACAATAAAAAAGGACGAAAATACCTGATCGATATGATGGAACGTCAGGGATACTACGTTTACAGTTTGGTCACGCATCCGGACAATTTGGCGAATGATATTATTTTTGTAAAGCGCAACACGTGACGAGTGAATACGAATAGACAGAAATTATGTATGAAGAATAATAACTATCTAATTATTTTAATAATGTCTAATTTTTTAATTGATATTAGTAAAATAATTTAATCTCTTTGATGTACTAGTCATATATAATTATAACAACATTGTCTGCATTAAGAAATTGATATATCATGCGAAGAAATATCTGAAATTGTTAATGAAAATATTTTTTGTATTATACAAGATATTTACAAAATCATATTTTTATAACTATATTCTATATTAATAAAATAAAGTGCTTCTTTTTTTTATTTTGAAGTTTCTGTAGGAAATGTAATAACAAATATTCGCATAAAACACAAAGACATTTCTTTAATTTATAATAATTTAACAATGCCTTCATTAAGAAGTAATAATAATTAGGAATAAATAAGAATAAACGGAATTGTACAATCGGGAACTGATGATCATACGTGGCACATTGTATTTTCTGTACTTAATAGAAATTAATCGCATTTTGTTACAATTCTCTCGACATTTTTTTCAATTAAATGATTATACAATTTTGAAGAACGTATTGCTCTCTAATTATTCTAATAGTATATGAGCAGCTTATCTTGAGAATCATATTTTGATAAAATAAAGGATAAGATATTTAGTAAAAATAAAGGATAAGATATCAATATGAATTAGTATACATATATCTGTGCATGACACATGCATATTTCTGAACTGAGAAAAATTATCAAATTTTAATAAATATCTTTTTTAATAGTCCTAACGGAATCTGGAGACACATGGTAGTGTCTCGGTGCTAAGCCAAGCGTAGCGACACTGCCGTGTTTCCTTTACACGAACCCATGGTGGAAGGATTATATGGTGTGTGCAGTTTGATCAGACCACGCCTACTTTTGGTCTGCGCCGTAATACTGTTACCCGTGTAACTGTTGAGAGTAAAATTATTTAGCGTTGGTACATTGGTACGTTTCGTCTACTGTCCTTGTTTCACGCACTTTCTCTGCATCTGACTTTCTCTTTTTATCCTCGTATTCGGTTACACGGAAAGGAAAATTCATTCCATTCTGCAAGCGGGCAAAACTCAATTAAGTACATTCTTTTTTTATTACTTTAGTAAAGTATATGTGCAAATATATTTATCCGTGATGTTTTATATTATTTATAATAAATTTATACACTTCGAGGCATATAATTCGGTACTAATTCGCGTTTTATTTTTTCTTTTTGTGCTATAAATTCCCGGGAAAAAATTTTCCATATATGAACATATAAATATGTATAATTATACATATTTATTAATGAGAAACATAAATAACAATAAAAAGAATACTAAAAATTAAAGAATTATTAAATTAAAAAATTATTTCATAATAAGAAACATAAATAACAATAAAAAGAATACTTCCCGCATTGTTTCTTTTAAAAAAAAGAACCAAGTTTTTGGAGAAATTTTAAAGTATTGCTCATATATAATTATATATATATATATATATACACACAATATATATAT